GTCTAGTAGTTAAATTTGCTTCATGTCCAGCAGAACATGAAGGTTCATTACGTATCAGAGATGTGACACTGCTGTGTTCTGACAATGATAAAACAGAAGAATGTGATATTGTGTAATTAGTGTTACTTAAGATAGGCTGCGATAAAATTGTAATCAGTGGTTCACGGTTTATAAAGGGCTCATTACAAAATGCAACACAACTTTCATATTTTCTTAAAAAATTTTTAGACCAGTTTTTGGCTATGTACACTACTTTTTTGATATGACTGGAGCAAATATTCAAGTTAAAATGCTCATTGACTTTTGCAACTGTTTTGCTAAACAACTCACCATTGCTAGTATAAAGAAACAGAACGTGTCCATTCATGCACCCAATATTTGTGTTAGATGGCAATGTAAAATTACTAATTAAATGTTTTTTGAATTCTCCTTTAAATATGTGTCGACCCATTATACCATTAAAGCATTAAATAGTTACAACTGATGAGTTTCTTAATAAATTTAGAAATGTAAAACAAATCAAAAAAATAATATTTAAATAATAGGTTCCAAGTTTATTTGTCTTAAATATGTATATCACTAAAAAAAAGTTAAATGATCCTTACCACTCACTTTGACACTTACAATAACAGTACCTGTTTGCCACTCAGAATAACTGGTACGAATTTTGCAAGTCAAAATATTTCCATATTAAGTAATAACCATGAGATATATTAGTTTAATATTTAAAAAATCTAAAGAAAAAATAATTGTATATTTATTTTTGACAATATCAATAAATATAATAAATTAATATATGTAACTATGGTATTAATATATGTAACTAAACCAAAAGTTATATCAATATACATACAACATAGTTATGACCAAAAAGTAAACATGTAGCCCAATAAACTATTTGAAAATTAAGCAAAAATTAATTGTATTAAAATTACACTTTTATTGCGTTAGTATTAGTATTTTGAAACCAACAACAATTAAAAGTATTATAAAAACTACTAAACAGGTAAGTAAATTAAAAAAATTTAATCAATTTTGTTGTAAAAAGCTATTGAAGCAAACATAAAACAAAAATATTTTTCAAATAAATGTTTATTTAAAAAAAAAAAAAAATTACAATGTCTATAATTAGTGTAGATAGTACCTGTAAATAGCTTTTCACATAAATACTACCATTTACTACAATACACATACAATTTCATTGTATGATTATAAAATATTTTTATTTTCATTTTCAATTTGTTTATTAGTTATCTTTTATGCAAATAGTATTTTTTGTAGATAAGATGAGTGAAGAGATTAATTTTTAATTAATATCTTCACTCATTTTATCTAAAAAAAAGTAATATATAACATTATTAAAAAGTTTACAAAGTTTTATTTTGTTAAACTTAAAAGAATTTTAATTGTGTTGCACCCCCCCCCCCCTTTGCCCGCAAATGATTTCAGATTAAGGAAAATAGGTACCAAAAGTGCGCCCCAAAATAGACTGCCTGCGCCCCATTTTTTTTCAACGAAATTTGGCAGACAAATAAAAAATGTGTAAACTTAAATGGCTGCAAAAGATAGTTAATTGCTGTCCATATCTTCAATATTTGCTGGATGCACAAAGTACAACAAAGTTTTGTATGTCAATAAATCAACTTACAAAGTACGTAATAGTAATCAAAAGACACATATTAATAAAGTATAATCATTCTAGTTTTTAAAAAATATCTATGTTAATATGAAATTCTAAAAAACAAGGCAACAAAACACTGCACAACCTACCTCTCCAAATGTGAACTTCAAAAAGCGTGGCACAGAATTTTAGCACATTTATCGGTTCCGTAAAACGCGGATATCGGCGTACCTAACAGAGTATATATGTTTTTACTCGAGTCTATATATATTTAATAAACTTAAGTAAAAAATATATATACTTTTTGTATTTCATTTCAAATAGATATGAAAGTTATAGCTTTACTGTATATTCTAAGACTAAGACTCTTAGTCTTGGAATATACAGTAAAGCTATAAGTTTATAAGTAAACAGTTAGGTAAACTTAAACAGTAAAGCTCATGTTATAATTTTAGGCATGTAAATTATTTGCTAAATAAACTTTATTTACATGCCTAAAATTATTATTTAATAAAGTTTCTTTTCATTTTAGAGTTAACTCTTACTAAGCTTAGTAAGAGTTATGTAATAAAATATTACATCCGCCTAAAATATTACATCCCCCATAGAAAAAACGAAAACGAGATTGCGCTTTCAAGTCATTGCACTTAGAAGTGTATCAAATACGTCCGAAACATTCAATTATAAACAATATAATTAAAACGCAACAAGATTCATAAAAACGTTTTTCTACTAATATACTATAAATGAAGTTAGCATAAAATGGTAATATATTTTAAATTCTTATTTATAAAATTTTAATCGTAATGTATTGTGTGACAATAGTATAGAAAAAGATTACACATGAGGGATATAATACTTTAGGTAATAAAAATAACAATCGTTTGCAATATTTTAGAAGCCTGCATAGGGGGGATGTGATATTTTTAATAAGAATTCCAGTTTCTTTTTGTCACATATACAGAAATAACAAGTGGTGGATGTTATATTCTATATAACAAATACTAATTGTTTAAAATACTTTATAAATTACTTATAGGGATGTAATACTTTAGAAGTAGACATACGGGGGATGTTATATTTTAAAGTAAGATTTTCAGTTTCTTTTTCTGACATATACAGTGAATAAACCGAGGGGATGTGATATTCTTGATATCAAATACTAATCGTTTAAAATATTGTATGAATTACTTAAGGGGATGTAATATTTTAAAGGTAAACATAGATGGGATATGATATTTTAAGAAAGAGTTTAAGTTTCTTTTTGTGGTACATACAGAACTTACAAGTGATGGATGCGATATTCTAGGTACCAAATACCAATTGTTTGAAATATTGTATGAATTATTTAGGGGGATGTATAATTTTAGAAGTATACATTAGGGGGGATGTGCTATTTTAAGTAAGAATTTTAGTTTTTTTTTGTGGTACATACAGAATTTACAAGTGATGAATCTTATATTTTAAACACTCAATAAAAACCGTTTGAAATGTTGTATGAATTACTAAGGGGTTGTAATATTTTAGAGATAAACATAGGGGGGATGTGATATTTTAAATAGCAAATATTAATCGTTTGAAATATTGTATGAATTACTTTGGGGGATGTAATATTTTAAAGATAAACTTAGAGGGGATGTAATATTTTCAGTAAGAATTTCAGTTTCTTTTTGTGAACTATGCAGCAAATAAACCGAGGGGATGTAATATTTTAGATACTAAATACTAATCGTTTGAAATATTGTATGAATTACTTAAGGGGATGTAATATTTTAAAGGTAAACATAGATGGGATATGATATTTTAAGTGAGAATTTAAGTTTTTTTTGTGGTACATACAGAACTTACTAGTGATGGATGTGATATTCTAGGTACCAAATACCAATCATTTGAAATATAGTATGAATTATTTAGCGGGATGTTATATTTTAGAAGTATACATTAGGGGGGGGGGGTGATATTTTAAGTAAGAATTTCAGTTTCTTTCTGTGACATATACATAGAATCTACAGGGGGATATGATATTCTAGATATCAAATACTAATCAATTGAAATATTGTATGAATTACTTGGGGAATGTAATATTTTAAAAGTATACATAGTGGGGATGTGATATTTTAAGTTCGAATTTCAGTTTTTTTTTGTGGTACATACAGAACTTACAAGTGATAGATGTGATATTCTAGGTACCAATTAGCAATCGTTTGAAATATTGTATGAATTACTTAGGGGGATGTAATATTTTCGAAGTATACATAGGGGGGATGTGATTATTTAAGTAAAAACTTCAGTTTCTTTTTGTGACTTATACAGTGAATAAACTGAAGAGATGTGATATTCTAGATACCAATTACTAATCGTTTGAAATATTGTATGAATTATTTAGGGGGATAGAATATTTTAAAGGTAAACATAGAGGGGATGCGATATTTTAAACAGCAAAAATTAATTGTTTGAAATACTGTATGAATTACTTAGGGGGATGTAATATTTTATAGGTTAACTTAAAGAGGATGTAATATTTTCAGTAAGAATTTAAGTTTCTTTTTGCGGTAAATACAGAACTTACAAGTGATGAATGTAATATTGTAGGTACCAAATACTAATTGTTTAAATTATTTTGTAACTTACTTAGGGGAATTTAATATTTTAAAGGTAAACATAGAGGGGATGCGATGTTTTAAGTAAGAATTCTAGTTTCTTTTAGTGACATATGCAGAGACTCCACAGGGGAGATGTGATATTTTAAGTATTAAATATAAATTGCTTGAAATATTGTAGAAAAATACTTAGGGGGATCTATTATTTTAGAAGTATATTTAGGGGGGGGGGGGGATTGTGATATTTTAAGTAAGAATTTCAGTTTCTTTTTATAGTACAAACATAATTTACAAGTGATGGATGTGATATTCAAGATAGCAATTACTACTCATTTGAAAAATTTTATGAATTACTTAGGGGATGTAATATTTTAAAGATATACATAGGAATGTAATATTGGGGAATAATTAAGAAGCCTGCATAGGCAGATTTGGTATTTTAATTTAGAATTTTAGCTGTTATTTGCAAAATGTGCAGAGATTACCCAAACAGTCTTTTTTTGTTTTTTTTTAGATTTAATTGAGCTAACAAATTAAAAATGTATTATTGTTCAATTAATTCATATGTATGGCTTCCGATGAGTTAAAGTATTATAGTAATACAAGAAGTCACTAGAACTAAGGAAAAAAAATTTCACCTTTTTTATCTGTAAGGGCATAAACATTTAAATTGGTTCAATTTATGACAAAATTTTGAAGAAAAAGAAATGACTGCAATTTTCAAAGTTTCATTTATTATTTAATATATATATTTAATAAATTTGTACATAAATATGTTCACAACAAAATAAAGTTTCATTTCTAAAAACAATGCATCTCATACCGTACCATCGATTTAAATGCATATATCACATTTTACCTAAAAATAAATATTTAATGAACATTTTTCTATTTGAATATCTAAAGTATTTTTTTCTATTTGAAATTTTTATTAAAAATTAATTAAAATATATTTTATTACTCATTTAATTTTTTTTTGATTTTTTCTAGTTTTTGGACCAATTTCACTTCCACAAATGCGACACAAACTATTCTGCTAACTCTTCTGACCTATTGATTTAATTTTTCATCATTTTTTTTTGTCTTTTTTATAGATATCATTTAACATTGAAGTAGTATAAACATTTTCAGTTCTCTAAAGAACCTCACAAACCTCCTTTATCTCTCTTTCTGTATGCATTAACTTCTTCATGTGGAAAGACACGCACCAATACTTCTCCATTTGTATAACTTTCAGCAAACTAAATTATGTAAGCTTATATATATATATATATATATATATATATATATATATATATATATATATATATATATATATATATATATATATATATATATATATATATATATATATATATATATATACATATATATATATATATATATATATATATATATATATATATATATATATATATATATATATATATATATATATATATATATATATATATATATATATATATATATATATATATATATATATATATATATATATATATATATATATATGGGGGATGTGATGTTTTAAGTAATATATATATATATATATCCATTACAGTTAAGACTCTTAAAGTTATCTTAAGGCAGAATACTCCAAATGTTATACCTTCAGCTCGTATGGCATGTGGTAATGTTAATATTTCAAACTTTTCTGAAACACCATATCTTTGTTGTAAGTAACAACTATTGTATAATAGTAAAAAAACTATAAAAGATGTAAATATAAATTTTGACATAGGAATATCTAATAATAATAGTATCATACTTCCATTTCACTTCTTCTTTTTTGATGGAATTTGTCTGTTCTCCCATAGGGTCCATAGAGTGAATTGTTTTATTACCTGGTTCGATTATCTAAAACACAAGTGATTTTCAAAATCAGGTTCAAAGTTAGGTTCCCTGTAAAAAAATAGGTAATCTAACCTTTCACTAAAAGTTAAATTTTTTTTACTTAGAGAAATAAACTTTTTCAAAAAACAATTATACAATTTTACATACTGCAAGCGTCCAATGAAATTTTTCCACCATGTGTGTGTGTGTGTGTTTTTCCATCATGTGTGTGTGTGTGTGTGTGTGTGTGTGTGTGTGTGTGTGTGTGTATAAATACTCTATAATTAAATTAATGAATCATTAATTTTTTTAGATAAAAGTTTTTGAATACCTTATGCCGTCTTCGTATTAAATCAGTTTTAATTGGCAATTCATCCAGTAGCCCAGCTGGCTACAGTACTTCGATTCGATTCTTCAAAGCATCAATAAATGGAATGGCATTCAATATATTGTTTTATATTTAGAATTTAAATTTTAGTTAAATAAAGGCAAATTTAAAAAAAAAATGCAAGAAGGGTTTTTTTGTACAAAAATTTTATTATGAAGTACATTAATTAATCATACTTTTATTTTATTGTTTACTAATATTTTGAGATAAATATTAACAAATTCGTCACTGAGACATTCGTTTAAAGTGTCTTGTAACGAATAATCGTATACTTTGCAGCCTCCTAAGACTTTTACAGGGTTTTTAATATGGATACATTTTATTATTCCGTGATCTATTTATGAAATGCAATTTAAGCATAATTTCATCAAAATTTAAGCTTAAGTCTTTTATCTAATAAAATAACGACTATTACATTTATTGAAGATTACATGTTTTAAAGCTCTTCACATATTTTTTCACCAGGTGGGAGGTTTAAATTAAATATTTAAATAAGTTTACATAAAAATCTTTATTTCATTCGTGCGCCACTGAATAATACATACCTTCTGTATCATCAACTATGTAGCTTTTTTTTGTATTTACTATCTCTAGAATATTAAAATAAATAAAAACAAATTAAAATAAAACGCTAACAATTATATATGAATAGGTAAGTTTTAATACATACCTTCACTATCTTAATCTACAATGGTTTTTATTGGCTTCTCTGCCTTCTCTAAAAAACTAAACTAACTCTCTGCCTTCTCTAATTAACTTCAAAGCTTTTTGTTGGTGTCTCTGCCTTCTCTTGAAAATAAACCATAAAATAAAATAATGATAAAATATATGGTTTAACTATAAATTAAAATAAGAAAACGAATATTTTACCCGAGTATAAATCAAAAAACAATAAAAATTGTTTTCATATTAGTATTACACGTAGAAAGTTAAACAAATATTAGGTTTGAAAAAAAAATAAAATATTTTATAAATAAAATGAAAACTTTATTGAAGTAACAGATATACCAGTAACTTCTACAGAATAACAATATTTAAAAAAAACATTTCTCTTCTCAGCGTTTTTTAAAGACGTTTAAAGACCTGTATTATGCGTAATAAAATTTAGACGCCTTTGAATAGCTAAGGGTTTCTGAGACAAGTGTCTGACAAAGATGTCTTTTAAATTAAAATAAGTAAACATAAACTCTCAACCTCAACTAATATGTTTAAAAATATAACGTAACTTCACTTTGTTTTAGCTCATTCTTTTTCTAGCGCTTATCTCTATTTAAACCTTTTAATTTTCTAAACTGATCAAAACGAGCTTCTTGATTCAAAAAAAGTTATGCCAAATATTGTGCGGCCGTGGCGCAGTGGTTAGATTGTATGCTTTATAAGCAGGAGATCCAGGTTCAAAACGAGCTTTGGACATATTTCGCGTCATGGTAAGGAAGGAGGAGTGAACTTCCTGGTTAAATGCACTTCCGCGGTGCTCTGTGACAAGACGGTTAGGACTTCTTGGGGTAATTAAATAACAAATTTAAAAAAATATATATATATATTATAAATAAGGACAATCTCTGTGCAGGTTTTTTTGTTATATTTATTATGGCTACACGTTGGTACTGGACTCGTTGAATAAAAATTTAGTCAATCTTTATTATAACAATTAATATAGTCAATTTTGTTACCTAATTCAATCATTTAAACTAAGCCACCACGCTCTCGTCTTTTTTTCAAACTTGTTGAATTCAACGCTATAAATCTGTCATTATAGGGATGATTATTATTTGTTAGTGAAATCTTCTTCGAACAATCATGCACTTTAGCATTTATGCAAAAGTGCATGATTGTTCGAAGCAGAATATTTTTTTTCAAAATTTTCATTTTTACAAAAATGTTGTGTTAACATTTTATGGAATATATATATATATATATATATATATATATATATATATATATATATATATATATATATATATTATATATATATATATATATATATATATATGTATGTATATATATATACAACATTTATATATACTGTTTATGTACGTTGTCTTTTCCATCTTTTACAGTACATTATTCTTTATTATTTTAGTTCAGTATGATATTGGATGATTCTAATACATGAAGTACATGATTTTATATTTTATTGTATATAAGTTAATTTTTTAACTGCCACTTTTAAAAATTTGTATAATTTTAATAATTGTGAACTGGACTAAATATTATTAACTCGCCTCAACAGGCTCAATAATCACATTATATTTCCATACCAAACCACCCAAAGAAACGTTAATATTTAAAAATAGCTCTTTAAAAATGTTCTTTTATCAAGAAAATAAGCTTCTATTATTCAAAAAAAGTATCTGAAGAAGTTATAACCTTCCCGAAACCTTACGCCTCAGCAACCATAGGTGGGCATAATGAAGAAAAATTTTAAATTATGGAATAGAATAAAAAAAGACAAACCGTAATATATATTTATTTTCCTTCAAAACGTTTTGTACATTAAAACTAGTAAAATATTTATGTTGTAAGATATGAAAACATTTAGAATAAAAAATTATTGTGATTAATTTCGTTCATTTTAAATCTTATAAAAACTTTAGTTCCACCAAAGTTTTATATATGACTTCGTTGAAAAATGTCGCATGTTTAAATTGTTAGCTCAATCGTATCTAAAAAAAAAAAAAAAATATTAAATTAAAACTTTAAAAATCTAAAAAACACTATAAATATTAAAGTTTCTTGATTTTATTAAAAGCTCTTTAATTTTTTTATTTATTTTCTAATTAAATATAAAAATTTATTATAAAGATCTCCCCATCAGAGGAGGGCCCAAGAAACAAAAAACAGCTAACAATATTTGAGATACATATCGTACTTGAATTACACATCCACCCTATGCAGGGGTCTAAAATATTATATCCCTCGAAGTAATTCTTAACAATATTTCAAACGATTAGTATTTTGTGTTTTAAATATCAGATTCCTCACTTGTAAATTCTGTATGTATCACATAAAGAAACTGAAACTTTTAAATAAAATATCACATCCCCCCCCCCCCCTCTATGTATATTTTAAAAATAAGTAACTCTTTACAATACTTCATTAGGTATCAAAAACTAATCAACGATTAGTATTTGATACCTAGAATATCACATTCCCCCTATTTATTCTCTATATATGTAAAAAAAAGAAACTGAAACTCTTACTTAAATTACACATCCACCATATTCAGGCGTCTAAAATATTACATCCCCCAAAGTAATTCATAAAATAACTCAAACAATTAGTATTTGGTAACTAGACTATAACAACCATCACTTGTAATTTCTGTATAAATAACATAAAAAAAACTGAAACTCTTTCTTAAAAAATCACATCCTCACTACATATACTTCTAAAATATTACATCTCCCAAAGTACTTTATAATATTACAATATTTCATTTGTGAGTTCTGTATGTACCACAAAAAGAAACTTAAATTCTTATAAAATCACATCCCCTCCATGTTTATCTTTAAAATATTACATCCCCCTAAGGATTTCATACAATATTTCAAACTATTAGTATTTGGTATCTAGAATATCACTTATCCTCGGTTTATTCTCTGTATATGTCACAAAAAGATAAAATATTTTAAACAATTAGTATTTGGTACCTAGAATATCACATCCATCACATGTAAGTTCTGTATGTATCACATAAAGAAACTAAAATTCTTTCTTAAAATATCACATCCCCCTTATGCATGCTTCCAAAATATTACATCCTCCTAAGTATTTTTTTTCAATATTTTAAACAATTAGTATTTGGTGTTTAAAATATCACATTTCCCCTGTGGAGACTCTGTATAAGTCACAAAAAAAAACTGAAGTTATTATTTAGAATATCACATCTCCTCTATGTTTACCTTTAAAACATTAAATCCCGTAAGTAAGTTACAAAATATTTTAAACAATTAGTATTTAGTACCTAGAACATCACATCAATCACTTGTAAGTTCTGTATGTACCACAAAAAGAAACTTTAATTCCTACATAAAGTATTACATTCCTTCTATGTTTACCTTTAAAATATGACATCTCCCTAATAATAATAACAATATTTAAAACAAATAATATTTGGTATTTAAAATATCACATTCCCGCTATGTTACTTTTAAAATACTACATCCCCCTAAGTAATTCATACAATATTTCAAACGACTAGTATTTGATATATAGAATATCACATCCCCTTGAATTATTCACTGTATATGTCACAAAAAGAAACTGAAATTCTTAGTTAAAATATCACATACCCCTTATGTATACTTTTAAAATATTATATCCCCCAAAGTAAATCTTTACAATATTTCAATTTATTAGTATTTAATACCTAGAATATCACACCCCCCTGTTTATTCTCTGTATATGTCACAAAAAAAATTGAAATTCTTACTTGAAATATCACATCCCCCTAATGTATACTTCTAAAATATTACATCCCCCTAAATAATTCATACAATATTTCAAACAATTGGTATTTGGTACCTAGAATATCGCATCCATCACTTGTAAGTTCTGTATGTACCACAAATAGAAACTGAAGTTCTTACTTAAAATATCACATCCCCCCTATGTATACTTCTAAAATATTACACCCCCCCCCCCCTAGTAATTTATACAATATTTCAAACGATTGCTATTTGGCACTTAGAATATCACATCCATCACTTGTAAGTTTTGTATGTACCACAAAAAGAAACTTAAATTCTAACTTAAAATATCATATCCCGTCTATGTTTACCTTTAAAATATTACATCCCCTTAAGTAATTCATACAATATTTCAAACCATTAGTATTTAGTATCTAAAATATTACATCCCCTCGGTTTATTCGCTTTAAATGTCACAAAAAGAAACTGAAATTCTTACTGAAAATATTACATCCCCTCTATGTTTACCTTTAAAATATTACATCCCCCTAAGTAATTCATACAATATTT